GAGAGAGAGAGAGAGAGAGAGAGAGAGAGAGAGAGAGATTTACATAAGGTGCCATAATTAATTTGGCTGAATGAGTTGGTTCCTATCTTTTTCCAAGTATTCTTATATGGTCCTTTTCCAAATTATCTTTTTGTTGAAGTTTGAAATACATGTGTGAACCCTAGAACATCCACCATCTGCATCTTTTATTCTGTACCATGAGTGATCAGTAGAAACCCTTCCAGGACAGACAACTTTATTTCTTAAACTTGATTTCAACTTTCTTCAACGCCACTCCGTATATCTGCACTTCCTTTTCTTGATCCATTTCTGTAATTCTTGCTTCCTTTATGTGAAATCAAAGATCAATAGTTGCAACCTAGATCTGATTTATCAACATACACACACATCTACTTCTCGAAGGAGAAAACTACATACACAGAAAAAAGTAATGGACTTTTGGGGAAAGACTGGTTGTAGTGGGGAAGACGAAGAAGAAAAGCAACAACCACCCACCGCAGATCGGTTGCTTTCTTCTCTTTCTTCCGCTTCATATCAACACCAGCACCACAGCCGCCACCAACCAGAACAACAACAACCCATCTTTTCTCTGCCTCCCTACCACCACCACCACCACCACAGTAGCGGTGGATTGCTGCTGGATGTTCATAACGAGGTAGGGGAACCTTCAACAAAGTATGAGGAAGAAGGAGTAGTTGGAAGGATATCGATGGTGGAGCGAGAGCACATGTTTGATAAAGTAGTGACTCCTAGTGACGTCGGCAAGCTAAATCGCCTTGTGATACCTAAACAGCATGCCGAGAGGTTTTTCCCGTTGGATTCCTCCAACAATGATAAGGGTCTCCAGCTAAATTTCGAAGACAGAAATGGAAAGCTATGGAGGTTTCGTTACTCATACTGGAACAGTAGTCAGAGCTACGTCATGACAAAGGGTTGGAGCCGTTTTGTTAAAGAAAAGAAGCTTGATGCCGGAGACGTTGTTTCTTTCCAACGGGGTGTTGGGTCTACAGCTAAAGATCGGTTGTTTATAGACTGGAGACGCCGTATAAACACCTCCAATCCACCGCATCTGTCTAATCTCTCTTTCTCGTTCCCTAATCATAATCTCTTCCACCCTTGGAATCCACTCGTTTTGAAATCTCATCCAGCTCTTCCAAGAAGAGAGTACTCTAATTTGATGCTTCCGCCGCCTAACACCAGCTCAGGGAACGTAAACAACGGCGGTTCAAGATCCGTTATATATTTCCGATCAGGTGGCAGTGTAATTCCACAACAACATCTTCAGATGATACAAAGAAACGGGTTTGGAGTTGGGGTTGAGATCGATCGACCACAACCACCACAAGCATCACAAACTCCACCGCTTCATGGGAAAGGGTCTGGTAAACGACTTCGGCTATTTGGAGTTAACATGGATTGTCCCTTGTCTGAAGATGAAGATGATCGAGACTACGATCCTCCAAGCAGCCATGGTCACTCTCCACCGCCGCCTGTAATGCCTCCATCATCATCATCACCGTCACCACAATCCACCAGCATTCCTTATCTGCAGTTGAGTCCCTATGGAGAAGGAAACGAATATGATCAGAGTACGATAATACAATCATCATCTGCTCATGCTTTCAACATAATCGCCAAATCAACAGCCTCTAGTATGTCCTTGGATTTGGATATCTGACACCAACTATTCATCAAGGGATCTTATATACAGCTAATTTGCTTATATGGCTTGTCGACGATACATCCATATATATCCAAGGAGCAAACATGTACCGAAGCTAAAAACCCATTAAAATAAGCAAAGGTATGTTGTTGAAGCCTAAAAACCCATCAAAATCCCAAGGGCTACTACGTCTGTAATAAAAGAAATATATGAAAAGCCGGATTCAGCACTCTAAACCTCTGAAACATAAAATTGTTTCCAGTTTTTGTGTATCCAATCTAGTTCCTTCAAGTTTTTCCCCGTTATATTTTTGCTTAATCACTCGATTAATATGTTAAGAAAACATTTTGTAGTAATAGAAGCTAGCTTGCTTATGTATCAATGGCTTTATGTTAATGAAAAAGTTTCACTTAGGGAGGTTAATTAGTTTCCTCTTGTTAATAACACTCTCTGAATTATTATATAAACACTAAATCCTATCAAGATTTATCTTAGAGTATTTTAATCTAAGAATATATGCAATGATGGTTGAACTAAAGTACTAATTGTCTAATTGTTTGGAGTTCATCTGCATCTAAAGCGGATGTTAAAATCAAGTTTTATCCATTGGGTCCAGGTCTTGTTTTTTAAGGGAAATATCAGTGTGTTCAGACCTTTATCCGTGAGAGTACAATGTGAAGGAGAATGATCGAAGAAGGATAAAAGATAGTCAGATGAACAGTGAATGGTGCTTCTTTGTTTATCTTTATTTATTACCTTTTGTAGGTTTGTTGCTCTTGTCGCTGCCACTGCCTACTGACACACCTTCGTTGGACGATAGCTCCCTCTTCGCAGGTACTCTTCTACTTCGTCTCTTTCATCTGTCACAATACAGATAAAAGTATTGCTCTCTCTTTCTCTCTCTGTGTGGGTGTGTGTTTGTATGTATGTATGTATGTGTGTGTGTTTGGTGTAGACATCGTAATCAACAAGAGTTGTGGTTAATGCAATGGTTGGCCAAATTCTTAAACAAACAAAGGGGTATATTAGATGTTGTCGTGGCCTCATGGGTCATATGTCGATCCGGTTCAACCGTGTATAATAGTAAATCCTTCGAACTTGGTTGGTTAAAGTCCAGACACCACAGTTACCGAAAAAAAAAATGGTCATTAATTCTCCTATACATGATACATCGTCTTGATTTCACAATATTACATTTTCTTTGAATTAAAGTTCGAACATATAGTTTGTACTTACGCGAGGTATTTGACATATATTCAAGCCTTGTAACTATTTGGAGATAACATATAAGTTTTCTCTAGTATAATCGACTTCTACAACTCGTTAGATTGGTGCCCATTAATTGGTTTTTCAAATATTAACTACATATAACGAACATTATATCTATGTATAAGCAATTAGGGGGATTAATAGCGTTTTTTTTTTCATTCATAGTGTGAATGTGGACATTTACATTGGAGAATATGGAGACCATATGCAAATAGATTGAATTGTACGTAGTTTTTTTAAAAGAAATATATCATCACTGTGTGTAGTTTTCTCCTTTTTAATTCTACCTACACGTGCCTTGAAAGCTATTCTTTTATGACCCAGAAAGCCAGTGACGCCTATGGTTTTTGCAAGTAGCTAGGTAGTTAAACCTAAGTCATTAATGATGTATTACTAGTCCTCATTACTTGGAGATGAATATAACATCTGATTTATATAAGTATATAGACCTAACTTTATCTGGCTTATATTCCGACTATAGCTAGACCTAAATGTAATTTGGGAAGTAATTACTATTGATTGCTTTGACTAATTTTATTGGTAACTAATAAGAAGATAATGACACGTATACAGGGTAAGTTTTTTCTCTTTGAAACAAAAATCAGCTTAATATGATTTAAGTTATGGTGTCGTTAGTTTCTTTTCTGTATGCCCTTCCTCCGTGTATAAGGTTACAAAGCCACATTTTACTGAGCAGCTGATTCCAGGGAAAGAGAAACTAGAAAAAGAAATTAAAAATTTCAGAGTTTGGAGAAACTATAGAGCATGGTCCACTGAGCAGTCTACTATAAAGCTGAACATGCATGTTCTGCTCTTAATCTTGTTCCCTATAAACTATCATTTTAACGAATTTATAATTTAATAATACTTATCTTTTCATTGTTTGCTCTAAATCGAGCTACGTCTCTACAATCGTAGGACAGCTAAAAAAAGCTTGCATTTTTCTGAGACAGAAATAGATGCAGACTAGGAGAGAGAGAGAGAGAGAGAGAGAGAGAGAGAGAGAGAGAGAGAGAGAGAGAGAGAGAGAGAGAGAGAGAGAGAGAGAGAGCTGTCCTAAAGAAAGCATCCTTAATAATCTGTCTGCATGTATGAATCACGTTGCATTACTGTATATGATCAAGATGCATTATCTTTTAATGCTATAACTCTAAGAAAAGAGTGGCTTCAATGACGATATTAATTAAACTATAAGCTATAAGGTGCTACGGACATAGAAGGCGTTCTTTTTAAAGATATAGATTTACTATGTTCCAAATAATGAAACTTAATTAGTCCAAACACTATAAGAAATGTCAGCATTAGCAGTGAATCCATGTAAATGTATATTACAAAACAGGAAAAGGCGCCTCATTTGGAGCTACGTTTTTTTTTCGAACAACATTTGCTCCTTGTTCCCGAGTTTTTTTGTAAATTCATTAACGGAAAGGGAAGGAAAATTTTGACGGAAAAAAAAGGAGGTGAAGGAAAATATTCATTATTCCGTGTACCTGAGTTTGAAGGAAATAAAAAGAAATGAAAGGAAAATTTTAAGTTTTTGTGTTCCCGAGTTAGGAGGAAAAAGAAAATAAAACTAGAAATTTTCCTTCCCCTCACTTTCTTCCCAAATCCGTCCAATTTGAGAGGAAAATTTGGAAGGAAAATATGACTCCAAAATCTTTCCCCTCCCCTCACTTTCCTTCCATTAATGAAACTCGGGAACACGATTTTCCTTCGATACCCCTCACTTTCCCTCCGTATCATCCCATTTCTCTCCTTAAGTGAAACGCGGGAACAAGGAGCTACGTAGAAGAAGTTATGCCTACGAGCTGCATGTGCTTCATTCATTCCCATTTCACAAGACTTTTGGGTTTCACAAGTATTTGTGTTTAATTAAGTTTTTGATATTCCAAATAGCACCGAAAGTGTCTCAAAATCCTATAAACAGTTTTGTTTTGATTAGAACAAAAACAAGTTGGATTAGTGACCTTAAGCTTTATTGCATACTAGGCGAATATATTAGTGCATTGGGTGGACTAAATTATGTACTAAAAATTCTGATATGTGTTTTTGAAAATTATTATATCATTGATATAAGCTATAAAATAATAACTATTAATTGCTGTCACAATAGTTAATTGCTTTTATGGCTTGCATGTTTAGAAAATTAAATATAAATATTGATTTAAAGTTACTTTAACATTTTACTTATTTAATCATCTTTTAATTTTGATCATGAAGATTGTTTAAAATATCAACAATTATTCGTAAAATAACTTAATTTAGTTTACTATAATTATTATTATGGTCAATTAGTTTAGAAAATACTTTATTATTATTAGAAAGTTCTAGACGACTAAAGTGTAGGTATTAAGTTTTAATTTTTACATTTATTTTATATTATTGATTTTATTTTAATCGTTATTAAATAGAATTTGAAAATTTGGGTGGAGTTTCAAATGAATATTGGTTCAAAATTATATTTAAAACATTTAAACCATTTTTTAGCTATTTAAAAATATAATATTTGAAAAGAATTATTTTATTTAATATTTTGATTTAGGTTTTGGATTTAACAACCTATTTAAATTAATAAATTACTACATTATATTGATAATTCAAAAAGTTTGTAACTAATATGATAATATTTATATTTAATAACATATATAGATTATTAAATTAGAATATATTAGATTGAAAGTTGAAAGGTTTGGAGGGTTTTAAGAAAGGAAAAATGATTGTTTTATATTTAAAACATTTAAAGCTTTTTTAGCTATTTAAAAATATAATCTTTGAGTGATTTTTAAATTTTATTTAATATTTTGATTTAGATCTTGGATTTAACATCTTGTTTAAATTAATAAATTAAAATATTATATTGATAATTCAAAAAGTTTGTACCTAATATGACAATATTTTATATTTAATAAAGATTAATAAATTAGAATATATTAGATTGAAAGTTGAAAGGTTTGTAGGGTTTTAAATGATGAAATGATTC